GATAGTGAAGAGGATCTTAGTGTCACATTCACAGCTGAGTAGCCACAAAAGGGACACAAAGTTACATATCACTTTTCTTTGCACTGGTGCAAATCTAGAGTAACTCAGTTAACCTCATGAGTTTAATCTGGATTGCCATCACCAGGAGAGAACAGATTTGGGGCTACAGAGTTTAGGAAATATAAATTAAGATTTCCATTGGCAGGTTTCCTGGATATCTCCTGCCAATGAACTTAACAGTGTTTTTGTCACAGAAAGGCCGTATCCAGCTATCTGTAAGGGAGTTCTAAAAAAGACGGGCCAAAAATCTATTTATTTCATCAAATATGATTTATACTTAAAACATAACACTTCACACTTAATGTTGCTACAGCATTAGGTATCAGCCTGCCTCACAAATATCAGTTCAGAATATTCACTGAATTGGGATCCACATTTTCCACAGGGGAAGTGAAGTCAGAGGCACTTAGGGTTGTATTTGAGCCACAGAGGATGTCAGTGCCATGGCAAAACTAGGCCTTCTGGCCTCTACCGCATGCCTTATTAGGCAATGCCTTCATCCCACTAAAGCATCATCATGCATAGTCCATAGGAAATATCAGCAGAGAAGATAAGGAAGCAGAATGATGTAGAGGAAAGTAACAGCTCTTTCCTATTTTTGAAGGCTATCTTCCCTAGCTGTTTAAACTCCTTAGTCTCTTGCAGCTCACTACACAACCAATTATGAAGGCAAATATATAGCTGCAGTTACAGAGTGAGAGACAGTTGTGCTGTGAAATCCTCCTTCTGTTGTAGTTGGTACTTCCATTATATCAAAGCGCTGAGGGGATTTAATTGTAGTATCAGGCAGATGTGAAGGCTGCAGAGCAACAGCTACTTGCTCTATCTTTTCTGACCTGCCCAGCGTCTGGGTTGCAACCTGCTCACTGAGGTCACCAAACATTCAGGCTCCTGGATGCTGGAACTGTGAGTAGTTAGTGGGCAAGGGGTAAACATTAGGCTGTAAGTGGGACTCTGATTTTAAACACCCTTTGGGGAACTTCACTGGGTACAGCTTACATTTACTGACCAAATCAGGGGTCATCTGCTCATACTGCAGTCTGTTCTCAAACATTAGCCAAAGTACTTGGCATGACTAGCTGTATTAATGGGACTTTCCCTTTTCCTAGTCCTGGAGGCCAGATCTGAAATCTTTCATCTCCTCTGGAATTCACCAGCCTATGGACTGAACAAAACCTGTAGAGAATGTGTCTATAGTCAACGCTAAAATTATTATGAGCAAGGGCAGCAGTTGCAGCTCTTAGTCAGAGCTTTCTGAATTTGACTCTAATTCCACGAAACGCTCGCTCGGTGGCATAATCAGTGTAAGCCAGTCACCGACAACTTCTGCTATCATTGATCATTTCTCATTCTTCTGATGTGCAGCAACATGGCAGGGACATTTATTAGTGTCTTGTCTATAAGCAATAAGGCCTTTGCCAGGTTTCAGGAGCCACGGACAAGTCTGTTTTTATTAACAGGTGTAGTCCTGTCGGTGGTAGGTCAGGTTGGAGTTAAGTAAAAAATGTAGCAAGGTTTAATGTTTATGTCGTTGCAGAGTAGGACCCTATGACTACATCACTGCTTAATAGCTCATTATGGCTGGGAGTGTCAAAAAGGTCCTCACAAACTCAAACAGGGAGTTAGAAGCCCACCTCCCACTGAAACACAATTGTGACAAAGGCTGCCAGCCTTCCTATGAGCTCCTCAAACTCATGCGTTACAGCTGCCCATCCTTCAGGGTTGGTTTTGAAAGCTACCTCATTTTGAAACTGTTCTTCTATTGCCAGACCAGATGCTGCACCCATCTTCTCCTTCTGCCTATGAACCAGTGGGAAATACTGGGCCTTTCGAGTTGTGTCTCATCTCTATCTCTGCCACAGCCTAGGAAGCAGGCGCCTTAAAGTCATTCAGGTTTGTCTTCGGCTTCCTAGAACGATCACACTGCCGGTTAGTCTAGTCACTCCAAACGTTCCTACCTCAATTCTTTTACTGAAGCAGCATTTGATTCAGACCACGTCACTGACAGTGGCTCTCCGTCCTGATCTCTAAAGCAGAGACTATTATTGCAACTCTCAGAAGTGTGATGAGACTGAAATGCTATTTGTCAAATGCCTTCCTTTCAGATCTACAGGAAGGAGCTGTAAAATAGCACTGCCATGTAGCTTATCCTCCAGAAAGAACTAATCTGAAATGGCCTTATTTATAAGCTATTGTCTGCTCTCCTTGGACTTTTCTGCCAGATTAGATACTTAGGCAGATTCTAGCATTACATAAGTTTATGGAGGGACTTTCATCTGGGGGGGAAAACTTCAGAGAAGGAGAAATAATTTTTCTTCATCTGCTGCTTCTCTCCCACCTCCTTGCTGGGGTTATGGGCATTTGTGTTTGATGAACTTTTGTCTTTGCTGCCCAGCTTCTCTATTTTGTTTGATCACCCAGCAAGGTCAGAATCTTGTATTTCTGACTCCATCTGTTGCCATGGAAATGACTCTGCTATCACAAACATGGTATTATGATGTCTCTGCAGGACTGAAGATGAGGCACATATGAGCTGTGAGGGTTTGATGCTTTCAGCAAATTTGCAATGATAAGCCCTTAATATATGAGGGCCTCAACTTGCACGCACTGAAATCCATGGGAGATTTACCACTAACTTCAGTGTCTGCAGCAGGATTATGCACACAGACTAAACTAAATAAAGTCAAGGTTGGGAACTACTTATTCATGCAGTTTAAAAGATACCCTTACAAATGGATTCATTACTTACATGCCCAGGTTCTGGTGTTCTTGTGCCTATGAAGCCCACATTAGTCCTGTTGCTTAGTGCTGGCTGGAGCTACTTTAGTGATATGACATTTTTCAGTGGTAGTGCCACCAAAGGTGTTATAGTTTAAGGACTGAAATTTTGAGGGAGATGATACAGCTGGAAAAAGCAGAGACTCTTTTGGGAACAGACTCCATCTCCTGAGTGCGAAAAAAGCAGCACTTCAGTTTTACTAAGACTAAGTCAAGGTATTCTTTTTAGGTCTTGTGCTGTAAGAGAAAGATGTTTTCAGGCTGTGAGACTAGGGAACCAACAGGGAATTCAGGAGGCCAAGGTTCAGACCTCCTCTCTGCTGGACTCAAAGTGATGTGAAAGTCTGCTTTTCAGTCAGGATCGCATTCCCAACCTTTCAGAACATCTCTCTGGGTTGGAAAAGGACAGTCTGACACAGTCCCACCTTTGCAAAAGAGAGTTAAAACATTTTATTTCCATACAAGATCAAAGGTGGGAACCACAAACCTTGCTATGCAGTGGAATTCCCCTTCTCCAATCACTCTGACTACTGGTGCCAGTACAGCTACTACCCAGCACCCACTAGGTAGGCAGTACATGCATCAGATCTAGGCTTCACAAAACATTCTGAAACCAAATCCTCCTCTAAGGAAAACTGGCAAAGCTCCAGAGAAGTCAACAGAACTTTAATTTCTACCATCTTAGAATAACAGCTAAAATACTTTGGGTATCGAGCCAAAGCGTCAGAGACAGTTTTGAAACACACATGGAAAAGGAATAGGTTGATATTAAAATGAAAATATACTTTAAATGTTCACCAGCAAGGATGAACGCCCCCCTTTTCCCTCCAAATACAAGGACAAGCATGGACTGTCAAGAGGTAGACGGCTGTGTTTTGTGTAATGCTAAATGCATGCTTGTTACCAAATGAACTGCCCTGGCTGTGAACATTCACATTTGTACTTGATTCATGTTCAGGTATTTGAATGACAAGCATTGGTTTAGATCTAGCGAGTCCTCAGCACTTAAATCTGTTTGCAGTTAATAACTCCTTACAAAATGCACCATGAAAAATCACTTGAATGGGAAACAGCAGAAAAGCACTTTAGAACTTGCTACATAATATTCCTGTGTAAGTTGCTAAAGTGCTTTGCTATTGACCACATTCCAGAATATAGGAAAACACACAGTTAATCTAGCTATATGAGGGAGCAGAGGGATATGGCCTCTTATACTAAGCTCGTTAGTGGGGTTTTGCTGCTGCTTGCATGTCACCAGCATGCCTAACAAAAGCCATACCTGCACCACTGAATCAGTGATTCAGTAGAGAAAAATGAAATAGGCTAGCTTAATTCCTCTTGGAGCATTTCACTGAGATGACTAAACTAGAAGAACTGCTGTTTGAAAACTCCTGCTGTCAATGGATAAATGGATCAATGGCTAGTGTCCTAACACAGACATACAAACACACAGATAGCCATGCTGGTTCATGTCGGTGCTCTACTCAGCCC